CATTTAAAAAATATATATTTTTTTTATTGATTTCAGAGAGGAAGGTAGAGAGAGATAGAAATATCAATGGGGAGAGAGAATCATTGATTGGTCTGCTTCCTGCACGCCCCTCACTGGGGGTGGAGCCCACAACCCCCGCATGTGCCCTTGACCGGAATCGAACCCAGGATCCTTCAGTTCGTAGGGCTACTACATTACATATAATATGTCTAAAAATAAAGAGGGGAACATGGAAAAACTCTTTTTTATTGCGGGGCGGGGGCGGGGGACGGAATTCTGAGCTGATCTCTCATTAACACACTTGGGATCACTAAAAACATGGTATAGGTTTCTACTTCTACTGAAAAACTACTGATTCTACTATTTTAATATCGTTACCTAAAAGCGTTGGGCAGGAATCCAAGTCGGAGCTAGAGTCCTAGGCGTGTGCCTGCTAGTGTATTACTATGCGATTTACAAGGCGCTTGATGAACTCTCATTAGAGGTCCCAAGGTTGACGAATAGAGTATTGACAAACTAATTAAACGGAAACTCACACGAAAGAGCAACAGTTACCCCCGGGCTTGGAGCACTAGCGACCATTTCCTGCACTGCCCTGGATCCATTCTTTTCTTTGATAGCCTGGTCTCTGAGCGCTTTGCATTTGCACAGCGGCTTGACCCCAATGACTGTTAGTAAAATCGCTCCCACTGCCCACAGTTCTACAGAATGAAGACGACGGAAACACACACACACACGGGAAGCGTGGTCCACCGCTCCTCCCATCCATCACTGAGCAACCTCGCCCCGGGCAGAGGATGCAGGAAAACCCCAGGACTCTGCAGACCCTCTCCAGCATCTGGGGGAACCCAGGGACAACGTGTGTAATTGCAGTCTTGGGGGTAAGAGGGCAGTATCTGCGGAGACACCCGCAGACCACGAACAGCTGGTCCCTCCCTCGGACGCCCTCGCTTTCCGCGATCAACCTTTCTCCGGCAACAGCGGGGCTCACTTCCCAGCCTGCAGCCCGGGCCGCCACCGCCGGAGTCTGACCCGGTCCCTGGCAATTGCATTGAGAATAGGCGCTGGTGTGATCCCAGCCTGGCCTACCATCTTACCCATGAAACAGGGACAATGACGTGTCTGCAGGGCGCAGAGGCGCAGG